AATTCAATCTATTGGATCAGTAGGAGGGACATGGGATAGATTAAAAAAATGTTGACTGTCAGATCACCAGGGGATTTGAATTAATGTTCTTTTGCACAGAGTGAAAGCATATGGGCCACAGAGTGCAGTTCTCCTTGGAAAATTACTGTCAAAACAGTACCATCTCAATTAACACAGCTGCTGACTTGTGAAGCAGGAATCAGATTTTACTTGAGTTAACTTTCAAAAAGCAGTTTCAGAGTAACCGCTTACTAATAACCTCTTGCTACACCAACAATATTGTCTAATAGCTTATGCAAGTCACACCTGTACAACTCCACAAGTGCTACTGCAGCATATAACATTCTATAGACCCTCTTACAATTATGTAAAGGAAGGAAAGTCATATTCATCCACCCTGACAATTGCTATCAAGATCCCATTTTCCTCCTGTAAAATGGGAAAGCACTTCTGATAGAATACCCTTCATATCAATAATGGGAATTTCACAGTATGGGCTTACTGCTCAATTTGCCTGCATTTCAGCTGATTTCCAAGGCTGAAGTTGTTTTGGTAGCTAATCAGATACAGACATTTCTTTTCGACAGTTCTCCCACAGATGTTCTAGTTGGCTTCCCCACCGATTTCCATGAAAAATATGGAGGATCTCTTATGTGTAATTACTTTATGTGCAAGCTATGAAATGTTTTATCTGAAGAGATCATTAACATCTGAAAGTTAAGCTCTAAGAATGATGAGAGGCTGCAGCTAAAGCTTTATCTACACATGAAGTAAGACTGCAGCCCAGTAAATGCCATCTTCTGCAGAAGTCCCTACCCCTCTCAGTAGGTACCAGAAACGGTACCTACTGAGAGGGTCATGAGGAATTCTGCTCAAAGTACTGTCAACTTACACCATTAAAAAATGACAAATTTTGGTATTCTTCACCATACTAAAGAAAATGAGACATTCCAGCTATTAAAAATGCATGCAACAGTTGCATTAATTTATTGCATCAATTTATTAATGCCTTAAAAGAAATATAATCAAAATAAACCTCAAAACAATGTTACTTGCATCAAGAGAAATTTTTATCTTTCTGATACTTCCACTATTACAAAATGTAGGTCTCTGACCTCATTCATCATGCATAAAGACAGAAACAAGTCTCCTACACAAGTGTGACTAGTGCAGATTTTTATAATGAAGAACATCAGGATACTGGTGGAATTTGCACCTTCAAATACAGAATTAGTTGGTTCTTCATCGTGTCTATTACACCTCAAGATCCCTGCAGCATATGATTTTATTTTCCATATGCATCAAAATTTATGTAATTAATTTTCAGAGACTCTAGAGATTCTGAGTGCTAAATATAAGAGATATTTAAGGAACCTGCTTTATAGAAGGTAGCTCTGAAAAATGTCATTCAAAGTGTATTGACTGGGACTTTTCTTTTTGCTTCTTGTACATGCAGGTAAATGTTTGGGCTTGTAAGTATAGTAAACATAAATATGCTCTTAAGCAAGAAAATTGCTTGAGTGGTTTGGTTTCAGTCTGAGTAAAGGGTTTGTCCTAAATTCCGCGTACTCCTATTCCATAAAGCTGCAATCACTAGGACATGCATTCTGCAGCTGTCTTTGGCAAATATATGAGGAACACCTCATATATTTTGAGGTTCCCTGTGTTCGCTATGTATTTCTGCAGCCCTTTTGAAGTAAATGACTCATTCTTCTCAGATAAAAAAGCAATCCATTTTGCTCATAATTTACTCTCTTTTTAACATTTACTTTCTCTACCAATGTTATGAAAAATGTTGGCGGTTTCCCCTTGCTGTAAAATGCAAAAGCCTCATGGTTTCTTTGAAACAGATAACTGAGGAGCTCAGTTTAGCACACTTAATTGCTTTCTTTACTATTACAGGAGCCAATACAATGCAAGTAGCACACACACACAAAAATGTTACTTAATAAGGACCAAGTACATTGTGTCATATATGGTAATTCAGCATTCTCACACTAAAACTGAATGAAATATTTTCATTATATTTTTGCTTACCTTGCTTTTTAATAATTGCATTTATAAACTTTGAAGCAAATCATTGTTAAATGCTGAGCTTTGCCTGAAGTCACCTGAGAATCCAGGCATGAGTCTTTGACCAATAGGCTACAGTGTAAAAATCAAGGCAAAAATTTTACTTTTTTTGATTCTTTTTCCTCATTCACCTCTTGTACCTTGTGCTTAAGGGCTGGTTTCAGGGCAGATGAGACACACTTCAATGGGCATTTCAACCTTTTAAAAGCAAAGTAGTCACGGTTACAGTTTTGCAACCCATGGTAAGGAAGGAAAACTAACATTGAGAAACTTCAGTTCCTAATTATCAGAGGATAAATGGACACAAAATTATCAAGCAAAATAATCTGAACAGCGTCAAAAGCAATATATGTTCCATAGGAAATGAATTTGGTAAATATTAAGGGCATTATAACTATTCACCATAACTTGTTCAAGAACTATAACTTATTTGTTTCATTAAATTATTTGAACACTTTTTAAAAAATGCATAAAGTTATTAAATTCCATTTAACTATGGAATAGTTTTTTAAAAGCAATTTGCAAGATCTGAACTCTCAAACATCTTTTTCTCTCCTTCAGTTTATTTCTCTTATCCAGCTTTTTATGAGTCACTTGAATTACTTCTAAATCACAAACACATTTGGGTGATTTAGAAAACAACTGTAAAAAGAGGGACTCATCCTGGATTATTAAAATGATGACTGTAAATCTCAGTTTTTTAAAAAGCCTTTTTATAACTTGTTTATGCATGGCTTTCTCAAATCATCACTGCAGGACTGGTACTGACCTGCAAAGGGAATGTACTCTTCAGCTCCTGTTGCTGCTTCAGAATTTGTATTCTGAAAAATGATGCAAAATGCTGAAAAATTTGCCTTCTCAAAATGATGTAGCTATTAACAAGTCAAGAATGTATTTTTCATAAGGAAATTACTTCTTACCTAAAAAAATTACAATTCTGTCATGAAAACAGTAACTTAAAATGCTGTTTTTTGAGGTCAGAAATGCCTTTTGCATTTGCTTTCTTTGCTAACAGGAAGGGAAAAATAGAGGTGTGTAAATGTCTGCAAACAGCATAAGTAGGCCTGTTAAAGCAATACAGAACATTGCTCTGGGGGAAGAAAACATGCTTTTTGCAACAGAAAAATGTGTAACAGATAATGGAAGATCAACTGCAAAGGAAAATGAGCCATTGTCTGGACATCAGGATGGGGTGAGCAGAAGCTGGATATTCCCAGTCTTCTGCTGAAGCTGGGAATATCCAACTCTGCCTTGGAGAATAAAGCCACATGGGATGATTTTGCTTCACATGCTCACAGCACACACAAAATGTCTTGCTGATTAATATAAAACTGTGTGCAAGTGGCTTATGCCACCAGCTTTTTGACTGATACACCTCTAGTGAAAGACGCAGACACGCTGGTGCTATAAAACTTTCTTCATCCCAGACAAAGTAGGAAATCAGTGCCATGTCTGCCCCAAAAATCCAAGACAGTCAAAAGAATATCCATTGCCTTATCCAATTTCTGGACTTACAAAGAGGTTGTCAGGATTTTCGCAGCTTGAAGGCAAGTGAGAAGGCAGATGGCAGAGAAAGGCTTTCCAGTGAGGGAGTAGAAACCCCCCCCCCCCCCCAATACTCTGACTATGGAAATCATAGGGAAATCATACTTCTAACACATCAGAATGTCTAAATTGGGCCAGAGTAGTATAAGGACATGGTGGTCACACCTCCTGATAACATGCCCTTCAGCTCTGAGCTGTGAGGGCTCGGGTTTCCTCTCCTTTCATGTAACCACCTTGATGGGGCTGAGAAGCAATGGGAAAAGTTCACAGATTAAAATATTGTAATTTCATCTCACAAGATAGCACTACAAGCAGGAAAGGAAATCCTGCAATTGAGGTAGCTGGAAGTCAGCACAGTCCTGAGGAAGAGGGCTGCCTCAGGAGACTACCAGGGTTCAGAGGCAGCATGGCAAATCCACTTGGCCATACTCTTTCCCAGTAACATCACAGGGAATTCCACCAAGTGGCTGAAGCTATTTTGCCTTGAAGCCCCACTCTGTGTTACACAGTAGGGGTTTCACTTTCACATTGGATGTAACTAAAAGGTGAGGCAAATATGAAAATTCTTCTATTTGGCATATGCCTACTTGAACTAGGTTTTACCAAAATACATTGTCAGTTTCCACCTTTGTCAAAAGCTGTGTACATCAGACCTCTTATGGGATGTTCTGAAGAGTATCAATTCCAAAATGGATCTGCTCTCCTCTCACTACCACCTGGCACTCAATTCCAAATCCTCCTGTGTCTCCTATGGGAATAAATGTGTTTTGACAAGTTGTAGAGCTTCCTATTTCAAAACTTCCCTTTTCTTCTGGGAACTGCTCCATTTCCTCAACTCCTTTCATTTTTAAATTTCTTTTTAATGGCAGAGAAACAACACTTCCAATTACTGTTTTGGCATAAACTCTAGAGCTTTTGGGACACAGGTGCCATTCTAAGTGTACTTTGACTCTGCATTTGCTATTGTTAACACCCACAATAACCATACATTAACTGAAATTTAGAGCAGTGGCCTCTTTTCTGGAACCTGTCAGGAAGAAACAAATATATAAGCTTTATACATCTCTGTGATCCAAGACAGGTATATGGGAAAATCTTCCTCCATGGCAAAGGGAATAAATCTATTCAAAAATTCAAACAGAACAGAGTATGCAAAAATAAGTGAAAGAGTGGGATATCTGAATTCTAAAATAAATTAAAAGTCTCAAAGAGTTAATGACATAATGACCAGGTACAGGCCACAAACAGTGCATAGCTAAAATGTTACTGTGGAAACAAAAGAAAAAATAAACCCACTCTAAATGTTGAGCAATAGCCTTGCCAAACACCCCACGAACCTACTGGAATGTACAAAACTGTCAAACTCCCAATTTTATAATCAGATTCCACCTTTATTATCTTCTGTGTTATTCTAGATAAAGGCCAAGGTCCTCATCAGACTAACACTGAGAATGAGAAAAAAGGTGCCAGGGCTACTCCACAAGGGAGTATGAGCAGGAACTGATAGTGGCCCCAGCACAGGGGTCAAAGGGCAGGGCACAGCCCCACTGTCTCTAGAGGCAGCAGGTGAAGACAGTCAGTGCAGATGGGTAGAGCCCATCCACCAGGGCCTCAAACACGTTTAAGTGATGAACTGGTCGAGAGACTTCAGTCAGGAGCAGGAGGAGTGCTGGAGCGAGGGTTGCAATGCAGTTTCAAAACCCACACAGGAGACAGGTACACCCGCTGACACTGCTCAGGGGAACTGAGAACCATCAGTGCTCTCACGGCCTGAAACAGTAACATTTACACACAATGTGCTTTAATACAACTCACGTGCACTTTTGTTAGATGATGTGCTGGTGATATGTGGTGCCTTACCAAAGACAGTAGGGCTGTTTCTGGATTTTGGTCAGTTTACTACCGTTGCTTCAGTTTTTTTGCAACTTGTGCTTCTTTTTGATAATGTGCCATAATCTGAACAATTATGAGGCTATTAATTAAAAGGAAAAGCAAGCCTGCCAACCATATAAATAAGTAAGTGTTATATCCTTTGAACTCCAGAAAGAATGCAGGAGTAAGCCACAGGCCTTGTCCAATGAACCACAGAAAGAGAAGCAGCACGCCCCTACGCCAGGACATCTTAATACTAGGCACTACGAGGGGGAACAGGCAGAGATACCAGACAAAGTACTGGGATGTGCATACTTTGTTAAAAGTCACAAAAATAGTGGTGTGTAGGAAACAACTGAAGGCAAGGTCTCTGTAGAACGCTATAGAAACAACCAGGAGCAAAAGCAGCTGGGGCAGAAAAGCTGCGAGCCCAAGGGCAAAACTCCATTTGCTCTCTGCTGTCAAGTACAACATGTAGAAATAGGGAGAGAAGTTATGACGGATATCCCTCCTAGTCAGGTGATAGAGGTAGGCGTGCTCCAAGAACTCCCAGCCATAGAGGTGATAAAATGCCACAGTCAAGGCAGCCAGCACTGATCCGGCAACTGTTCCAAAGAGTAGCACGTCGCGGTTCAGCGTCTTTACAAAAAGGTGCCAGAGGCGCGCCACAAACGTGACCTTTGCCGTTTTGTCCCCCCGCGCATCCAGGGCCCGTTCCCCGCGGCGCGGCGCGGTGCGCAGGCGGAGCGCTATGGGCAGCGCGTAGGTCAGGGGATATATTTTCATGTGCACGGCCAGCCCGTAGCACACGGCGGCCTTGCCCACGCTGCCCGCCTCCACCCAGTACAAGGTGGCGAGCACCAGCAGCGCCACCAGCGCCTCCGCGTTGCCCCGGCTGGACACGGCCATGGGCAGGGGGTTGAGGAGCCAGGCGGCGGCGCAGCACCCACAGGCGCGGCCGGCGGCGGTCCCCCGGCGCCGCAGGGCCCGGTAAGCGACGACAGCAGCCGCCAGGTCCCCGGCCACGAAGAGCAGCTTCCCGAAGGCCTCGGTGAGGAACACGTTGGGCGTCAGCAGCCAGGCCAGGAGCGGCGTGTAGCGGTAGGTGGCCCGCCGGTAGGGCGAGCGCCCCTCGGTCACCAGCCGCGCCGCGTCCGTGAACACCCGGTAGTCGACGTCGGTGTAGCGCACTCGCATGGTGCGGTCCTGGTGCAGCCCGTACAGCACCAGCGCCAGCCTCGCCAGCAGCCCCGCGAGCAGGGCCGCACCCATCCCCGCCATCCCTTCCGCGCGGGGTGGGGGGAATGCGGGAGCGGGGACATGCGGAGCACGGGCGGCCGCGCTCCCTGCGGCTTCCGCCGGGGCGCGCGGGGAGGGGGCGGCCCCGCGCCTGCGCGCTGCGCGCCGGAGTCGTGCCCGGGCGGGGCGGTCCCGCGGGGCGGGCCCGCGCTCTGCCCGGCCCAGCGGGGAGTGGGGCCTGTGGTGCCGCTGGACCGGGGCGGTGTGAGGAGGGGCCCGTGGGGGGCGGTGGGCCCCGGGCGGGGCGGTCCCGCGGGGCGGCCCCGCGCTCTGCCCGGCCCGGCGGGGAGCGGAGCAGGGAGCGGGGTCTGTGGTGCCGCTGGACCGGGGCGGTGCGAGGAGGGGCCCGTGGGGGGCGGTGGGCAGCGGTGCCTGTGCTGCGGGCTGGGAGCCTGGCAGGACATCGGCACCGGTGTCCGGGGAGAGCTGCGGAGCACCGCCACCCGCGCTGCCGCTGGCACCGCCGCTGCCCATTGCCCCCTCATCCTGCCGGGAGCTGTCGGGTTCCACGGGTAGACAGGCGGCAAATACGGTCGTAGTTAAGTAGGAAGGAAAAACAACATCTGTTATTTACCTTCGGCAAGTGGCTGTGTTTTGCCTAGACGTACGAGCGCTCTCCAGAGCGCTTAGGTGAGCTTCCTGCCGCAGCAGATTTCTCATTTCATTAGATCAGAAACAGTATCGTCAAAATCGGAGCTTAGAGAAAGTCACTTCCAGCGAAGGAATTAAATCCGCTCTATTTTGAGGACCTATTATGTGTGGTTTTCAGATAGTTTTCCTGTCTGGATATTTGCCATCTCACATTTGAATTGGGGCTGATTGAAAAACAGGCATTTATTGTGGGTTTCATATTAGAACTTAGAAAAGATTTTCTTAGAGATGCTTTATTAATCAAAAATATGAATTTGCTTGTTTAGTAGTTAATTGCAACCTCACTCTTTTTGCTGAGTGGTTTCATTTGGGAATATTTTGGGAGCTGTAGCATTGATGGCTCACATCTCTTACAGAAAATCTGCTTTTTCTCAGTTCTGGGGACACCCATCAAAGAACGGGGAACAGATCTTTTGCATTTGGCAGAGGCATCTTGGAGGGTGGCCTAACAAAAGATATTTTTGTTTGTGTGCACACAGTTACTAATTTTTATCTGTTAAGGTTATTCTGTATATAACAGTACAATAGGGTATAGTCTGAGGCATCCAATGGGAGATGCATAGTAACTAACCTGGAGAGTCAGTTTTTCCTTTGTTGGATACTTGCATATTTTTTAGTAAACTGGACATCTTCAATAGGAAATCTCAAGGGAATTCTCCATTAACTCACCAGATTGTTAGGATATTTTTGGGAAGGGGAATGAGGGTGGTTGTTGATCCTTGGTAAATAATTGCTTATTCACTATTGCTGTTCTACTTTAGAACAGGAAAGATTGGTAACTTTTTTTTTTTTTTTCCCTCTCTTATGTATCTTGTACTATGATGGTTGGGGTGCTTTTAAAAATGCTTCTATCACCATATCCATTGTTGTGCCTGAGCTTTTATCTGGAAAAGCTAGGAGATCAATACTGAATAAAATCACTGGAACTGAAATAACTTGGAAGCAGATATATATAGATGCTACTAATTTTTTGGCTTGGAAAAGTTTGCAAAGAACTATTCTTGCTATCTGCCAATGTTCTCCCAGGGTTGTTTACTGTTTTGATGCCTTCGTGGATGGAACATATTTTATTATTTCAGACCCTTTGAGGCACCTGTTCACGGTCAGATCAGAACACATTGCAGTTTATTTGCTGAAGTGTCCAGGTTTAATGATATTGGTGGAATAATATGAGTTTAATAAATAAACTTAGGTGTGTGCTGGTGTCTCATGGTTTTCTTGTCTGTTTCTGACAGTCTGTTTTCAGACAAATCTTTTATTTGACGTTAACAGAAGTTGTTAAGCTGTTGGTAGTGACTGTTTATCAGGATTCTAAAGAGGAAGAAAGTAGGTAATTTAATTCTAAAGGGTCATGATGTAAATAAAACAGAAAATCTGCCTTAGCTACTGCATATACTGTGACTGTATGACATTGCCTGAGCTGGAAAAAGAATTGATTTTCCTTATCAATAATTTAACATCTTCAAAATATACTTGAGGCTCTTCAGAGAATTAAGATTTGGCTCAAAAATGCATTTGGCTTCAGATTTGATACCAGCTTGCTTAACCTGATTTGTCATGTACCGTAGACTTTAATGCAGGAAGAAGGGCAGTCTTATTAAAGTTATAAATCTGTTGTTCCTGTAAAAAGCTGCTTTTATTTATATCAGTCACCATGAGCCACTTTTAGAAAATGCTGGGAGATAAAAGCTAATAGAACTGCTGGGACTGAGGCTGATTGATTCCAGTGCACACAAAGGTACTAACAGCATGAAGGAAAGTCTGGAGTCGCCATAACGTAAATAGGAATACATATGGATGTGTATATTCACATGGGTATAAATGTTTTATTTCACTACCTGCCAGGCATTTTGTTTACACAGTCTCAAAGATGGACCATTTTATAAACTGAGGTCTCTTCCAAATATGCTTCTGTTGCCTACGTGTGATGGGGGATTATAAACTTGAACTCAAATATTAACTTCTTCCTTCACCTTCTGTAATGGAGACTACTTGAGCAGCACCAGGACGTATATCCCATAAACTATCTCATATGAACTTCTGCTACTTAAGGTTTACACGGCAGTGGTAGCATTAAAAGGACAATGAACTCGGGGCCCTGTTGTGCCAAGCGTTCTAAAGCCTAATGGAAGTTTTGAGCATCTGAAAATGAAGGTGGCTGCAACTGGAGGGTGGCAGCTGCTGTGAAGGAGGCAGTGCTATGCTGGTTCCAGCCAGGGGCAATCCATACATTTGGCCAGGTTCTTGCCTTTCAGGGGTTTGCTATCCACACTAAGGTGGAAAGTTACGTTTTGAGAAAGGTTAAGCTGAGGCTACTGCCATCAACAAAGATGAACATACGTCCAAACCTAGATCTGATGGGTACAGTAGGGCTAAATATTGGAGGGACTAACAGGTCAAGTCTGGGAACTTAGAGGAGAATAAAGAGGCTAGTGAAGTTTGACATTTAGAAGATGATTCTGTTGAAGTAACATAAGGGAGATGTAACTGGTAGCAGTGCAAGGAAAAAAAGAACAGTTGTGGTGGGGAGGACCTTACTAAGATTCAGGTGGCCTAGGGGGCTAGACAAGCTGGAATATCTGAAAAATTATGGAAGAAAGAGCAATAAAAGGCTTTTTAGGAGGAAGGCAGTTGGAGGATGCTTCCATGTGCTGTATTTTAGGTCATTCTACAGAGATCTCAGGGTGAGGCATTTCTCATAAACTAATTGTTAATGGCTAGCTATACTTTGTTGTTATGAGATAAAATTTGATTGTATGTTTTCCTGTAAGTTGTCATACTGTATGTATGCAGTGAAACAAGTCTATATGTATAAAAGGTGGTAGAAAAGTTGAATGTTTAAGGAAGTAAGGAAGATACTGGCCAATAGCTGGTCTTCAGACTTCTGAAAGGGGAGACAGCTGTGCTGTAATGTATTAGAGTTCCCTTTTAACTCTCTTGGGTTTTGAACTCAGAATGTTTCCTTGCATGAGAAGTACTCCTGCCTAATATATTTGTAAACTGATGCTAAGTTTTTGATAATATGGTAAGTACAATCTGTTTCTTGCAGCACATGAAATTCTGTAGAAAAAGTGATGAACACTTTGCTTAGATATTTTGAGCTTGATAAAATTATTTGGCTTTGCAAATAGAATTGATGCCTTTCAGATATTTGTAATGTGTTGATTTTTAGATATTATCAGCAAAAGAGAAATATAATTAAGATTATGTAAGGAAGTGTTCGTTCCTGCTTTAATACTGGAATGAGTAATACAGGAGGGTTTGCAAAAATTAGCTAAAAAACACATTAGAACTCTTCACAGAAGAAAATCACCATTATATATAAAAAGCTACCACTCTCCTTTAAGCTTTTTCTGTTAATGTGTTTTCTAAAACTGCCTGATAAATCTATACCCTTATTCACACATTGTGCTATAAATGTGGCTATTTGGAGAATGTGATTGGAGTTGTAAAGGAATTATTTTTTTTCCCACCACATTGTGATTTTGCACAGTATGCTTTCAAGTGGTGTTGGCAGAGTACTGCTTGCAGTGGTTATGCTGATTGTTTGTCAGTGTATTAGGTACAATTCCAGTCCTTCAGGGAAAATAAGTACCGGATAAAAATTAGTCTGTAGGATAACCTGTTAAATTTACCATTAGAAAGAAAAGAAAATACTATGTCTGAGAAAACACATGTGGCAGCAAGAATAAGTCCACGGAAGTATGGTGCTGGCCTAGGGGGCAATTGCAAAACTATGGCCTTTGGTTTTGCTTTAAGGCCATGGAGAATCTGAGGTGTGATATGGTAAACAGGAGTTGCCTGCATCTAGGATGGACAGTGCCTGGCCCTTACTGCCTGCCTTGCAATACCAAAACAAAGCACTTTCCCCCTTTGTATTCTGCTTCTACAGCTTTAGCTAATGGTGCAGGCAGCCCAGTGGATTACGATTCCAGAAGTGGGAGTATACAACTGAGGATTGTGTTGAATTTCCTTTACTTCTAATTTTTTTTTTTTCTATTCCTTCTGCTAATAAAAGAATGCAGAGAGAGAATTGATAAACCCAGGCAGAAGAGAAACTGGAGCCAAATGACAAATTATGGATTTAGGAAACTGAGGGTTCCTGGCATCACACTGCTGGCTTCTGACCATTGTGCAGAATGATACCTCCAGTGACACCTCCAGAAAGAACCTGTGAAAGGCTAAATCTAATTGTGTTAAGAATCACTTCTTGCCAGCTTTTGAATGTGTAAGGGAAACATTTTGTGCATTTTTACTTTATAACTGCCTAATTTTTTTCCAGTTCTTTGGAAGGGGAAAAGAGACAAAACTTGAAATGTGATGTTGCTGTTCTCAGGCTGTGTTGCATTTGCAATTACTCACTGATATAAAACAAGTAACTGTAATTACAGATACAGTCTCAAACTAAATCT